ATACTAACTACTACAGTATGACAAAAACACACCTGATTGAAAGGATCATTAAACAATTAAATCCAACGAATACAATGTACAACAATAATTCATAATGTATCTTGTCTGAATAAATATAGCTATAAAATACCTGGTAAAACAAAAAAATAAAGAGAATGAAAACTGACCAAAATAAATAACATTAGAGAAATTCATTTTCTTCAAATAAAAAATAATCTTTTCCCTTTTTGGAATTCTAAGCTCGAATCTTTTGATACTAATAATTGTAGTAATATTATAAAAATATGAAAAAACTGTCACAAAATAGAAGATCATTATTATAAGAAGACATTAAAAAAAATATATAATATGTTTGAAAAAAATAGCCACAATTTACAGTCCCAACCTAGCTAAATCTTTTAATATTAACAATTGTAATAATATTATAAAAATATAAAAAAAACCTGTCACGAAATAGACGATTATTATTATACGACGACTTTTAAAAAAATATGTGGAATAAAGTCACAGTTTACGGTCCCAAGCTATAGCTAAATATCTCCCACGAATTTTTTCAAGCGGGTCTCCATGTGTGGATGGAATTCCTGAACGGTGTTTGAGGAATTTGTTCCCTGTTTATGGAGGGAGTCGGTGTTAACCCATGTTAACCCCCTGGACAGAAGGACAATGGGGTTAAAACGAAGTCTCCAAAACCCACGTGTTCACATCATGTTCACTTCAAATGTATAGATTGTTTGCTTTTAGATCGACCGAAATGATAAAATGTATTTTTGGGGGAAAAGGTAGGAAAGCGACTTTTTGTATAAACAAAATATCTAATAGATTATTTCCAAATAAAGTCGTGGGTTCCAGGACACTCTTTCTCGAAATCTTAACTAAAGATAAAATCCAAATTTTAGTAGATACTTAAATTTTGATTGGCTAAGCACTAAAATCAATCTAATATTATCCAATCAAATTACTAAAATTTGGATTTTATCTTAGTTAAAATTTCGTGAAACAGGCTCCTGATCTCCAAAAGTTGACCGGTTGGTGATACTCTACAAAAATTTAACAAACAAACAAATAAAGATGATTATGTCTTCATTACCCTGGTTGCTTACGAAACTAGGACGCCAAACCCGATTTCATTTCATTGCATTTATGAAATTGTATCTAACATGATTTAATTTGGTGTCCGAGATTTATTAAATAGACTGAATCGGGCCCCGAGTTCACAAAGCATTCTCAGACTTAAGTCAAGAATTTACTCAAAATTGATCACCTTAATGTAACCAAAATATAGCCCATTATAAAACTTTTGTTGTTTTAATATATCAAATACCCTAATAAGAAACTATGTGCAAAGTTTTATGTTTCCGGATCAAAGATATTTCTCATAAACAGTGATTGAAAGTTGAGTAAATTCTCAACTTAAAGATGGGTTCCCGCGTACAAACTCGGTGATTTAATGGTATATATGGATCAAAAACATATTCAAACTAATTAATTTGTCATAATTATGCTTCAAATCCTTCTCAAACATTGTAATTGCGAAGGAATGCCCTGCTATTAAAATTCGATCAAACCAGGTCATGTTTACGTCACGTCTTGGGAGTCAGAGGAGAATTCATTGCATACATAAGACGATGTTGTCTTTAATCGCTTACTATTTATTATAAATTTCGAATCCTAATTAAATTCTCGGATTATCCACTACCCGCGTCTTTTTCCGTCATTTTTATCTCAGATAGTATTGTACGTTTAACTCTTCATAAAGTTTATCAACTTGTACATCAAGCGCTCAATGTTCGCTTGTGACCTTTGACACCACGCGTGCAGAAGTTCTTAATCGTCGGGCTGTTGATTAGGGGAACCCTTACATTTTTGTCCTGTATACGCTCCATGAGTGTTTTTCGGGGAATCCAGTATTTTTCTAGTAAGATTGGATATCTCTACTTTCCATATATACCAAAATTGCCATACTTTTATTGGAAATAACCACCCGATAAATACTTTTCTGGGAACCCATCTTTAAGTCTGAGAATACTTTATGAACTTGGGGCCTGGAATGACAGTCAGAATTTCCTGGGTGGGATTCCCAGCATGGGTAGATTTGAAATTTCGGAATATTACAAGTCCGGCCCGCTGTTGGGGCAGACAAAGAATGTGTGTCTAATCGTTCGTGTAGGAAGATAAACCGAGATTCCTTGTACAAGTTAGCAGCGCACGTTAAAGATCCTTTGAGTTCGAATAGGAGTAGATGGAAACATCGAGCACCTCACCCAGAAATAAAAAAATAAAACAAAATGTCGACTCACTCCATTTCATTTTATTTACGTTGTCACGTCTCGTCATTTGTTCAGCTCCGGATACCCAAATCTGGTCTATTTATTGAGTGACGGGTATCGTGTACTTGGCAGAATATGATTAACTGATTCCCATTTCCTCTGCAGCACGGGGAACTGGTTGCGCTTTAAATCATAAGGCCTGTCATTGAGTTAAGTCACGTGGGTACGATCCCAGGCACGTAGGGTACATCTACCTAGCCCATAAATGTAAGTCCCGAAATGAAATAGTTTGGGTCGAGTGGACGTCAAAGCCCACCTCTCAATTCCCCTATTGTACGTGGCAAGGGGAAGTAGGGTCGCCTTTCCCTTTCCAACCGCGTGGGGTTTCTCTGGGTCATCCGATTTCCTCCCACTGCTAAAGCGTATTATTGGAATAAAATTGAAACCTCTCTCTCTCCCTCTCTCTCTCTCTCTCTCTCTCGCCTATCAAACCTCGTGGGGTTCTCTGGGTCATCCGATTTCCTCCCACTGCTAAAGCTCTTTCTCTCTCTCTCTCCCTTCCCCCCCCCCCCTCTCTCTCTCTCTCTCTCTCTCTCTCTATCTTTCTCTCGTCGTGAATAATTAAAATCAGTCGTGCCATAGAATTCTAGAAACTCATTATAAAACAATAAAATCATATGTGTTCGTCATTTTTATAACTGACAAATTCTTGTAATAAACAAATATATTAATGGCAATATATATTACTTTAGATATTTTATAAAATAAAAACAATGAATATACAAGAAAATTGGAAATGCAAACAAAGTCGTGATGGCTGTTTATGGCAAGAATCCCATGGGGATATTTTGTGACTGGTTAAAAGAGACTGCAGAATATCTTTTACTTTTGGAATTTTCGTTTCGTATTTGTCATTTCTCTAGGGGGCCATGTCTCATCTGTTATACCACATTTCGTCTCGGTTTATGAGAAAAGGAATCAGATTTTTTTTATTGTCTTGTTTAAATCATTTGGAGCTCGTAGACAAACTTCTCAGTGATAATATTGTTTCAGTCATAACGGAAAGAGGGATCAACTATTTCGTGTCGTTCTGGTTTTGGAAATATTTTCATTCCATATTTTTGATAAACAATGAAAAAGTTGTGCTAGTTTAAGGGTGGCTTGCCTGCTGTTTTTCTTAAATATATAAAATTATTTTAAACACTTATATACACATTTCCCTGGTAGTACAGGCCTCCAAGTTAAGTTGTCGTTTGTTTTTTTAATTTTCAATTCATTTATGTTCGTTTTATATTGTATTTGAATTCAACTTTTGAACGAAACATTAGACGCGAGTGACGAGTCTCTTGTGCAAATGTCAACTTTGATTAATTCTGAACGAGTTAAATATCACTTAAATTTAACCAGATCCATATGCATTTATTTCAGTTATTTAAATACATATTGGATTGGATTTCAGACGGGTTTCATGATAACAAACAATCTACTCTTGTGGTGTATTTCATAAATGTTGAAAATTAACAATAGGACTTGTGTACCGGCTTTGCCGAATGTGTTTGTCACTTCTCTCGCGATTTCTGTATTTCAAATCGAAAGACAATCTGCATGATTAAAACACAGAGCCTATTTCGTTTCGTTTTTTTATAGTTCAAAATTTTGTTTTACTGGTCTTTACTACACTAGGATCTGGAAGAGTTGTTATATAACCTGCGTTCTGGATGATGTGAGAGATTAGCCAATGAAACGGTCTGTTACTCTAAGTTTTTTGGCGTGAGGTGCACGAAACTGTGGGTAATCTACTAGAAACATCAACGATGATTAATTAATCAAATGTCTGACGTCATAGGTCAAAAGCCGCTCGTATGACCACTGACGTGACCTTCCACTACAACTGGTCAGATCTTCATGTAGTGTAGGCCATCGAAAGTATAAAAAACGAAACGAAATATAGATCTGTATTTTAATCAGATTCATCTAAAGATTTAGTTTGTAATCTTCTCGTTCGGGTGAAGGTCTTCCCAAAAAAACGAAAAACGAAAATGATTTAAAGCTCTGCCAATTCGAGTACGATCGATTTGAAATTTGTCAGGCCCGAGAGAGAGAGAGATGGGGTTTAACGTCCACTCGACACAAACTACGTCATTTTGGGACTTACATATGGTTCAATTTTATTTCAATAATTCACTTGCGCATAGGGGTCTTTAGCAGTGGGAGGAAACCGGAGGACCCGGAGAAAATCCACGAGGTTGGACAGTCGACCCTACTCCTTGTCACGCACAACCGGGGATTCGAAACCACGCCAGTCGACTCAATAACAGACTTTATGATACAGCGCGCAGCGCGCACGTGCTAGCCATCCCCCCCTCTCAAATGATTAAGCATACTATGTCTCGTGCTAGACCGCCGTCACTTCGGCTACGAGACAATAGTTATCTGCTTTTCTTATTGGTATTTTAGCGGAGGGCCTGACAAGGACAGTTGTCTAGTCGTTCGGATGGGACGAAAAACCGAGGTCCCGTGTACACCTTGGCGTGCACGTAAAAGATCCCTTGACAGTTGGAATTCGATATAAGAGTATAGGCCATAGCGCCGCTACCTGGGCAACATTTCCCGCATAGCACACTGTATGGCGTATGCCTGTCTTTATTAGCCCAGTTCGGAGCATTTTTAGCGGCATATTACAAATATATTTTAAGATATAATTATCAATTTATTTTATTTTTTTTTCAGATGCAACACAATCCATGGGCAGCTAATGGTCCAGCTCAGTATCCCATGACAACAATGCCCGGGATGGGTAGTTCCTGTATGGCTGGACAAAACGATCTACCAAGCTTCATGGGATTGGCTCATCAAAATTCTCTGGCGGCAAATCAGTTCGCTGCTAATCAGTTGGCTGCCAATCAATTCGCTGCTGGTCAGCTCGCAGCCAATCAGCTTGCAGCCAGTCAGCGGTCATCAGGGGGACTAACTCACAGTAACCATGGCTCTATGCCTTTTCCTAATGCTCAAGTCGGTCTGGACACGGGGATGGACCCTGAATTACGAAGCTCCAGTATTGCTGCGCTCAGATTAAAAGCCCGTGAACACAGTGTGTCTATGGGACTTCTAAGTGCATACGGTAAATAACTGTTTATGAGGACTGATGAAACTATTAAACAAAAAATATGGTCAAAAATCAAGAATCTATGCAAATATATTTTACGATATCCGCCAGGACATACAACGAATGATGTTGTGTTTAATCATCTGGTGCTGCCAGGGCCAAAAGCAGATTTAAAAAAAAAAGAAGTTAGAGTATATTAATATGAAATGGATGACTGCTCGTGGAAATGTAAGATTTCACGTTGACTCTTTGTTGCCATAGAAACAATACAGACGTGTCATAAAAACTAACTTTATTAATCTGTGTAGGCCTACAAGTGGGACATTGTCAAGCTGTGTGTCCTTTGGACTGGACTGTTCGGGACTAATTAATTACCACGGTTGGTGCCTTGTAAATAGAAAAGACTCAATGTTCGCGCAATCTGTAAATTGTGCCAAATCTGAAAAAAGGGGAGATAACCAAAGCATTATCAGCGAGTTGTCTTTTCTTTGAAGTAATTTAATATTTTAATTATATTTTAAAGTGAGCTAATTATATATAGTGCTTCTACTAATGCTTACTAAAAATCAATTTCAATTTATACATCTGCATGAATTATTTTACGGAAAATGAATTATGAAAAAAAAACCCCAAAAAACCCCAAAAATCTCCCAAAACATGCACATCAGATATAATTAGTATCATAACGCATTATAAAGCGATAATCTAATTTATATAATGGTGGTCAAATGATACAAACGAAAAACGAACACGAATTTTTATAATTAACGGTTTTTAACGTTGTGAAAATCAAACAGGCACGAATCAACTATTTGTATTATTTTTTTTTAGTCAGATTCCAGAATAAATGAAAGTTCTGTATGTTGTTGAGGTTATTATTTAGTTAATCAGAAATCATTAAATTAAATGTGTTCATTACTAATCATCTATGTGAACTAAAAAAAATCGTAAAGACTAATTAACTTCACTTTTCAATTTCGTTTTTTTTAATCAACGAACAATCTCTAGCACGTGTTTAACATGCTTCAATTTAAATGTTTTTCTATTTCGTTTCGTTTGTTCTAATCTAGGTAATCATTGAATTAGTACAGATGTCTTCCAGTACTATGACTCAGTGCTTCTGGCCTAGTGCATAATACTTGATCATATTTATGCTATAGTTGTAGTGTTATTAAAAAATGACGTCATTAGGGTTGCCTTGGTGATATCACTGGAGGATGCTTCACGAATTGTTCCGAAGGTTCCGAATTTATGGAATTGTAATCAAAGAGTACATGAGGCCCGTTTCCATGTGTGCGTTTTCGCTGGCTAAAACTCCATCTAATACAAATGAAATGGGACCGTGTGAAATAAATCCTTGCCCCGAAATTAACAATTAACTTTCACCCAGCACGTTACGCAGTCTATAGGCACCAATCCCGGACACGCACACCGCATTACCGATTCTTAGCCTTATGCGTAGTGTCCAGTGCGTAGTAAATGTCGACTCGCATCACGCTTGAAATCTCCAACTGGTAAGGGCATGCGTTGTTTATCAGCCATTTATGTTAATCAAAGATGCATTATGTAAGATTTAAATAAAGAGATGGCCGTTCTGCCTATAACAGTTTCAAAATGAACAATTCAAAATTAATATGTTGAAAATTTCATTCAAATTAACTTTATTCTGAGCGACATTATCACTGTTTCAAGATGTTTATTATCGTCGCAGCGTTACTTGTAAATCGAAGCGCAGCCTCGCTTCTCCATTTCTAAATTAAATCATTAAATGGCTGTCGTATTTTAATCCGTTTACATCTGCACACCCGATGATCTAGAGAGTTGAGTATATTGTCATGTGAATAAATGTCTAAATAATAGAGAGAGAGAGAATGGGGTTTAACGTCCACTCGACACAAACTAGGTCATTTCGGGACTAACATATGGTTTAATTTTATTTCAATAATTCGCTTGCGCGTAGGGGTCTTTAGCAGTGGGAGGAAACCGGAGGACCTGGAGAAAACCCACGAGGTTGGACAGGCGACCCTACTCCTTGTCACGTACAACCGGGGATTCGAAACCACGCCCGTTGACTCAATGACAGGTCTTATGATACAGCGCGCACGTGCTAACCACTCGACCATCCAACCCCCCGGGGGTCTAAATAATAACATTTGATGCCAAAATAAAAATCTGCAATAGGCAGATGTAGCTCTTACATAATGCATCTTTAAAAAGCGTGTTACATATGTATTTTAACCTGAAATAAACGAAGCTTGCTAGATTATTAACATGTAAAATATACAAAACAAAAACTGTAAAATAACTGCCTTGTTTTTGTTAATTATTAAAGTTTTAATATTTCTATTAAATTAGAAACAGTAGCGGATGAATGGTGTAGTTCTGTGTAAATAGGCAATGTTTTTCAGTGTACGAATATTGTATTGTAAATAGTTCCGTCCATGAAAATAAGTCTATATATTAAATCTATGTATTGTTCTAATTGATCAGTTTATTGTATATATATATATAAACTATTTGTTGTATTAAAATATATTTAATGTCCAAAAACTCTTTATTTTTAGTAGACCCCACTTTTGTGGTGTGATATCAGCCCGTCTGTCCTGTCTCTTAAAGGGCCAATTTCGATTATATTTTGAAGAAAAAACTCCTTAATTTTGTGTTAAAATCCCTTATACTCTACCTTAGGGCCGAGCAACTAACTCAATATACATGATACGTTTTCAAACAACTTAAACCCATCAGTCTTCATCTGGAAATGGAGACCAGTGACCGAAGCTATATTATACGGTGTCTCGATAAAACCAGACTTTTATTTTATGGAAATAACGTGTAGGTGAAATTTACTTTTTGTTGTCAAGTACAGCACGTGGGTCATGCATCTAGACCTTTAAAGAAACCGTGGCTAAGTGGGTAAAACGCTGGCTCGCGTGTTCGATTTTCCGACGCGGTTTCCCCTTATTAGTGGTGCAGGACGGAGGGCCTGACAAGGACAGCTGTCTAATCATTCAGATGGGACGAAAAAAGAAATCCCGTTCATACATTGGCGTGCACGTAAAAGATCCCTTGACAGTTGGAATTTGATATAAAAGCACAGTGTAAGGCATATGCCCGTCTTCATTATCCCAGTCGGAGCAGAACAGTAAGACGTGAAACCCCTTCCTTTACCGTGCCAGCGCCTCACCCGCTGAGCCACAAACCGAGACCTGGCCCCGGGCTCACAAAGCATTCTCAGTCTTAAGTTAAGAATTTACCCAACATTCACAGAAATATCTTTGATCGAGAAACTCTAAACTTTGCATATGATATCGTATTGATGCATTTAAAACATTAAAAGAACAAAACAATTATAAGGGGCTATATTTTAGTTAAAATCAGGCGAATAATTTTGAGTAAATTCTTAACTTAAGTCTGAGAATGTTTTGTGAACTCGGGGCCTGATTAGCGAGCCAGCACGTTTATCACTGAGCCACATCAAATCCCATTTATATCCTCAAGACGAACTAAAGGTCAACAAGATTTGATATACTATAATATTACAATTTTTATTCATTGGAATACTAATTCAATCGGTGATTACCTCGCAACGATAACTCAGGCAGTTGTAACAATAACTCACGGTTATTGTACGCAATCAATAGATATCGGTAATAATAAAACTATAATATGAATACCAGTGGTAATAATGGTATCTATAGTGAGACAACTTAATATTACTAGTATATTGGATATGAACAATATTCTACTCTATACACCAAGAAAAATGACTGCTCGTTAAAGGGTTATTAGAGTGTACAAGTGAAACTTAAAGAGGTCGCTTTAACAAGAGTGTGTGAGAGAGAGAGAGAGAGAGGGGGGGGGGGGAGAGAGTGGGGAATCGAGATGGGTTACGTCCACTCGACACAAACTAAGAGGTATTCAGAGAATAACACGGTGCAATTGTATTTTAAAAATTGGCAATGTGTGAGAGCGTGCGCGCGAGAGAGAGAGAGAGAGAGAGCTTTAGCTTTAATGTCCACTCGACATAAATTAGGTCATTTCGGGACTAACATATGGTTCAATCTTTAGCAGTGGGAGGAAACCGGGGGACCCAGAGAAAACCCACGAGGTTGGACAGGCGACCCTACTCCTGTTCTGTACAACCGGGGAATCGAAACCACGCCAGTTGACTCAATGACAGACCTTATGATACAATGCACACGCGCTAACCATTCGGCCATTTACCTCCACCCTCCCACCCACCCAAAGATAAAGGAAACGAAATGAAATGAAATGGGGTTTAACGTCCTACTGTTCTGCACCGACTGGACTAATAAAGGCGAGCTCCATACAGTGTGCTATGAGGAAAATGTTTCCCGGACAGCGGCGCTACGGCCTACTCTTATATCGAATTCCAACTGTCAAGGTATCATTGACGTACACTTCGATGTGAACTCGGGATCTCGATTTTTCGGCCCATCCGAACGACTAGACATTGTTCCTTGCCAGGTATAGAAAACATAAGAAAGTTGATAGTCCAGGAGCGAATGACAAAATAATATGGTCATCAGTTACAAAAGGTTTGACCCCCCAAATTCGTAGCAGGTGTCCGTACGAGTAAAAATCATTTGGTCAGATCGGGCACTGCTGGGGCGTATAGCCGCAGCAGCACCTTAAAGTAGGCCCCAGGGGGCCTAAAATTAAGTCATAAGTTACATGGCTGAAACTTTGTAGGGGCAATGGTATCCATAGTCGGAGTAAATATTTCACAAATCTAACCAAAATTTCCGGGGCTTTCCCCAAGTCAGACCACACCCAATATCGCCTCGTGGGGCTAATAATATGGTCATAAGTTACATGGCTGAAACTTACCAGAAACAAAGATCCACACTTGGTAAATACAATTTTCAAAAATCTAACCCAAAATTTGGGGGCTTTCCCCAAGTCAGACCGCTCTAAAGTATGTCCGACCACACCCTAAAATGGGGCTTTTTATATGGTCATAAGTTACATGGCTGAAACTTACTGGGAGCAGCCATATTCAAATATTACAACAGTCGTCGTCAGACCTGTATGATGTCATTAGAGAAATACCAAGAATATGTAAAGGTGTTTTGTTGTTGTTGATATAAATGTGTTCTACACGGTCAGTTTGAGGAGAATATACGATAATTTCTATTTAGACGACGGTAATGACCAGGCCGTAGCCAGCTTGCTAGCTTCGGAGGGGCAGTGAAGTTTTTTTTTTTTTGGGGGGGGGGGCATACCTCGCACAGTCTAGTGTATATTTTTTAGTAGAGCTATGGGGGGCAAAACATTTTTTCAGGGGGGGGGGGGGGCGATTGCTACGGGCCTGGTTATGACTCTAATGGAAGAGAAAGCTTTCAGCAAATTGAGAGCAATATTCTACATGTACGTGCAATGTTGATTTGTCATCGGATTTCAAAGTTACCGACACACTGATATTTTAACCTCTATGTTATAAGTATTTTTAAAGAAAAAAAATACAGAATAAAGAAGAAAACAAATACTTCAACAGAAAACAAATACGGGCATCTCTCGATAACCAAACCAAATCATCTGTGATCAAAATCATTCAAAACTGTCACGGCAATAAATAAGTGCACAATCAAAAGATTGAGAGAGAGAGAGAGAGAGAGAGGAGAGAGAGAGAGTGAGAGAGAGAGAGAGAGAGAGATGGGGTTTAACGTCCACTCGACACAAACTGGGTCATTTCGGGACTAAAACACAGTTCAATTATATTTCAATAATTCGTAGGGGTCTTTAGCAGTGGGTGGAACCGGAGGACCCGGAGAAAACCCAGGAAGTTGGACATGCGACCATACTTCTTGTCACGTAAACCACGCCAGTTGACTCAATGACAGACCTTATGAATGAACGCGCACGCGCTAACCATTCACGTGGCATGGATCGGGTGCTCCGGTTGTCTCCCACTACGCGCAAGCGAATTATTGAAATAAAATTGAACCATATGTTAGTCCCGAAATGATCTAGTTTGTGTCGAGTGGACGTTAAACTCTCTCTCTCTCTATCTCTCTCTCTCTCCCTTAAACTGACCGTGTAGAACACATTTATATCGGCAACAAAAAACCCGATCTCTCTCTCTCTCTCTCTCGCTAACCATTCGGCTATACACTACCTCCCCCTGTACACAATCTCTCTCTCTCTCTCTCTCTCTCTCTCGCTAACCTTTCGGCCATACACCCCCCTCCCCCTGTACACAATCATGGTATAAAATCAATCACTGAATTGCCACTTTAACATATATATGTATACAATCGATATGTAAGTGAAATGTTTAAAGCAGTATAAGATATATTGTAACCTGTAAGAGAAACTGTTGTTATATATAACAATTGTCTGTTAAACATCAAGTATTTTGTATTATATAGATATTGTATAGCAGGTATTGTTACTGTTTCTATCATATCGTATCGTTAAGGACGGAGTATGTATAATATTAATAATATCATGTTATAATATCGTGTAAACACATAGACGACACATAAATAGGAATAGATTTGTATTTTGGTTTTGATAATTCTGTTTTAAAAACACATGGAGTGATTTCCGAAAACCAAATGTAAGTATAAAATACATATATAGTATAATATGTACATTTAAACTAAAATCTAAGTTGTTAAATGAAATGGGGTTTAACGTCTTACTTAACTGCTCCGACCGGGCTAATAAAGACGTGCACACGTCATGGTAGGGGTAGCGGTGGGGGGTTGGATGGTCGAAGGGTTAGCGCGTGCGTTTTGTATTGTAAGGTCTGTCACTGAGTCAACTGGCATAGTTTCGATTTCGCAGCTGTAGGCTCGCCTGTCTAATCTAGTAGGCTTTCTCCGGCTTCCTCCCACTGATAAAGACCCCTACGCCAACGTGAATTATTGAAAGGAAATTGAACCATGTGTTAGTCCCTAAATGAAGGTGAGCCTAGTCGTTCGGATTGAACGAAAAGCCGGGTTTCACCAGTGTATACATTGGCGTGTATGTAACTGTACACTATTCCCATCGAATCATAACTTTTAATACTGATGAGTTGTTCATAGAACATCAGGTACAATGAATTCTAAACGTTAGTCAAAACCGTACACAGGACACCGGGTTCTAAACGTTAGTCAAACCCACCTAACCGTTAGTCAAAATCCTATACAGGACCACGGATACAGTTCTAACCGTTAGTCAAAACCCTGTATTCGGGATCCCGGGTACAGTGAGGTCTAACCGTTAATCAAAACCCTGTATATGGGACCCTGTGTACAGTCAGTTCTAACCGTTAGTTAAAACACTGTATACGGGATTCCGAGTACAGTCAGTTCTAACCGTTAGTCAAAACCAAGTATACGGGATTCCGAGTACAGTCAGTTCTAACCGATAGTCAAAACCGTACATTAGATTCCAGGTACCGTCAGTTCTAACCGTTAGTCAAAAGCCAAAATTGTACGGACAATATGGACAAACTTTAAAAGAGGTACCCGATTCTTTCGAGATGGGGTAGCCAAATGAGAATAAATTGCCATGGGATCTTAGTATTTTGTGGCCTGGCTTCCAGTTATTAGTAGTGCAGGACAGAAGGCCCGACAAGGAACAGTGGCTAGTCGTTTGGATGAGACGAAAAACGGGGCCTCATGTACACATTGGCGTGCACGTAAAAGACCCCTTGGTAGCTGGAACTCGATATAAGAGTCTAGACGTGCACGTAAAAGATCCCTTGGCAGTTAGAATTTGAGATAAGAGTAGGTCGTTGTGCCACTGTCCGGGCACCCCCCCCCTCCCCCATATCACACTTTGTAGCGTATGCCCGTTTTTATGTTCGCCGTCGGTGGAGAGAAGTAAAACGTTAACTCTGTTTCATTTTACAATTTGCATTGACCGAGAAATGTCATCAGGATTTTCCGACGTGGTGCAGGAAGGTGGGGGGGGGGCTGACAAAGACAGCTGTCTAGTGTATACATTGGCGTGCACGTAAAAGATCCATTGGCAGTTGGAATTCGATATAAAAGTAGGTCATAGCGCCGCTGTCTGGGCACAATTTCCCTCATAAGACACTGCATTGCGTATGCCCGTCTTCGTTAGCCCAGTCGGAGGAGAACAGTAGGACGTTAAACCACATTTCATTTTATTTTACAATTATTTACCATGAATCATATAAAATACATTTTACCTTAAGTCACGATCAGGTCAGAAATAATTAACAGAAATTAAAACTACAACTAAATGACATTTAATCTATCTGCGTGAATTATTTAATGACTTTTACCTCCACAAAGAAAATCAATTCAATCGTTTTAAATTATTCATCTACAAGTGTCTCAACTAATGCAAGGGAGACAACTCTAAAAATTCAAAAATCAGATTTACTATTAGGTTACAGACCACCAAAGATATTCCTACAGATTGGGCAACATGTGGTAGGTAACGCCCCCCCCCCCCCCAAAAAAAAACCCTTTCCATGCCTCATGTGACCTTGACAATATTTTAGATATATTGGAGTGACCCAAACTTTAGTTTTATGACAATTTTGGGAATCACGAATAGATGACTAGAGTAACGATTACTAAAGAAAAAGACGAATTCTGAGAATAAAATGAATCATAAAATATATTCAAACTACGGCCAAATATATTTATTACAAAATACATCATATCTTTTCAAACTGACGGCAACATCTAGCCTACCATTCGTAAAGTAGCTGCCATTATGTAGGATACTCGAATTAAGTCCAAACTATCCGCCGCTAATAGTCAGATTAGATGACACAATCGGGTCAGGGGGACTGTATCTTTAAATGATGAGTTATTAATCAGAAACTATTAGGTAGAATATCATCCTCGATATCCACAGTGGTTTCATTCCGTTCCACTCCTCTAACCCCTGGTTTCATCCATGGGGGTGGGGGGAATCACGTGGCTAAGTGGGTAAGACGCTGGCTCGCTAGCCTGGAGGTCGGGTGTTCGATCCCTGCATTGGTCGAGAAAGTTCATCCAGATATTCCGGCGTGGTTTCCCCCTTGTCAGTGATGCAGGACGGAGGGCCTGACAGGGACAGCTGTCTAGTCGTTCGGATGGGACGAAAACCCGAGGTCCCGTGTACACATTGGCGTGCACGTAAAAGATCCCTTGGCAGTTGGAATTCGATATAAGAGTAGGCCGTAGCGCCGCTGCCCGGGCAAAAATTCCCTCATGGCACACCGTATGGCATATGCCCGTCTTCATTAGCCCAGTTTAGGAGCAGAACAGTAGGACGTTAAATCCCATATTATTTCATTTCATTTCATCAATGGGGAGAAACATATTCAAATTATCTGCCCTTGGTGATGGTGCTTTTTTATCGACCAATCAAAAAAATCGTTAAATTCAGATAAAACAGATGTTAATAGTTAAATTAGATGACACATTTATGTCGGGGAGAATATTAGTTAATTTCAAACTGTCGGGTAGACTAAGTTACATAATATTTCCATACGGGATGTAATGCAACTTTAAATGATTAGTTAATTCCACGTGGAATGGGTGAGTTAATTATGTTAGGGTAGAATTCATCTTTAAAAAGGAGTTAATTCCGAACTATTAGGTAGAATATATGACTTAATTAGTGTAAGGTGGAATTGATTTTTAAACGAGGAGTTAAGTCCAAACTATATCACGTGGAATATATGACCTAATTATTCCAGTAGGAATGTATCTTTAAATATATAATAATATATTTTACCAATGGTAATCAATATCATGTTATGTTGTCATTCAATATTTTTTATTCATTTTCACAGATCAAACAGATGAAATCGATCAAAACACCATGATCGGGACAAACATTGTTTTCTTTCAACATGGATGCCAAGATATGTCACTTGCCACGGTTCTAAAGGCCATGTTTTAGTGTCAAAGATTATAAATAAGTCAACAACGTTAATCCAGAGAGGTGTTGAAAATCCGGAATACGAAGCTTAATTAAGCACCTTGAAGCAAACCTGTTAATAAAAAAAGTCCAAGATGTCTAGCATGGCCTCAAGTTCTATACGGCCAACCACAGCACCGGGATTAAAAAAACGGAGATTCCGCCCCAACCGACAAGCAGCAATAACATCTTTGAGAAACAGGTCGAAATCAAATCCCGATTTACTAAACTCCTTTCAGCATGAATCCACCCAGTCTTATAGATTTGGCATTGCGGGTCCGTACACGACTCCGTCCTACCTCATCGAACTTAACGCTATTAAGCGACGACCGTCTAGTCGTAACCCGATGCCGTTGGTAGAGCTCCCGGATCCTTCAAAAGTTGTGCGGGAATGGACTCAAGATCAATATAGACGGAAGCGAAGGAATCGCCCGAAGCTGCCCCAGGTTGACGATGGTTCTAGGCGCTCGTCCCTCGATTTCCGGAAAGGAAGTTTAGGATTGTACGATGATTTTCCCGAGTCTGTGGAACGTGACAACGATAACGTGAGACAGGTAAGTTCTATTGTCTTCAATGATATTTACTATAATCTGATTCAATCTGTTTCACAGAGTATTAGGAAAGTCTTCTAATATCTCTGTAAAAGATGACTGCCTTCAAAAAATGACGTCATATCACGCGGCGTCAATCATTGGCTCAATGACGCGTACATTGTTTACATAAGAGTTACAGATTCGACCAGAATGGCGCCTTTTATTCATTTTAATACCCATTTACACTAAAATAGGAAATAATTTTTACCAACAAATACTTCAAACGTATTTATTTATTTTTCTTATACATAAAAAAATATTTTAGAATTTAATTTGTCAGAGGAAGAAAGTTAGAAAGTTAATATTTGTGGCTCACTAAATCGCAACGATGTCATCCTTATTAGTGACTGTAGAGGCCAAGCGAATATTCACTTCTGATCAGTGTGAATCTGATTAGCACATGGATGATGACAATGAAAAAAAAAAAAAATACAATTTATATGGGAAGCAATCACTGGTTTGTAAACATAGAACCTAACGTTTCGAAAAGTCTTCTCGTATCAAGCACAGATCCAAAGGTTAAATTAAAGATGCCTTCCCGCGTACAAACTGTACAATTTGATGATATATTTGGACTAAAACATATTCAAATTAATTAATCAATCAAATACTTGTTTCAAAACATTGTATTCGCGAGGAAATACCCATTCAACTTGTCATGCAACTTGATTGATGGGTGGGGGGGGCGGCAAAAAATATTTGTCTTTACTTACTGTCCATTTGCCATACATATTGATAATATTGGATTATCTTCTGCCTTTTTCCGCCGTTTAAATCTAAAGACTATTGTACGCTTAAACCTCTCAATGTTCCCAAAATCGGCTATTCATTCAATCAAGAAATAACAACCGCCCTTTAAGTCGTCGGGTTGCCAGTTAGTGATACCCTGACATTTTTGCCCAGTGCTTGCCTCGTGGGAGTTTTTCAGGGAATTGGTATTTTTCTATTAAGATTGGGGTCTATACTTTCCATTTGCCATACTTTTATTGGAAATAAATACCCATATAAACACTTTCGTGACAATGTATCTTTAAGTCCGAAAAACCATTTAACGGCGAATACTTAGTCTTACCAAATTGTTGTGAGACTCTAGCGAAGTTCGTTGGGTGATCTTGGGTAACTTTTTAAATGTCTTATCGACAAGGGCACTAAAATAATTCTAGACACAGTCTTAGAAGACATGATAGTAAACCTGGGCAGCCATTGCTGTCGTTTTTAACTTTAAAAAAAAATGCACATCGGTTTAAACTCTTTAAAAAGTCATTTCTAGCAAAGGTAAGAGTACAGTGCCATTACTGTACTCATACGTCACCACCAAGTAAGGTATTGAGGCATGACATTTGAATGGAACAAAGACGGATTCCGTTGATTAACTGTCTCTGTGTAAGATATAATCACACAATCTGATGTGGGTGATTAATTCTCTGACTTCGTGTTGTCTTTCGTCGTCTAAGAAACAAAGAAAACTAAAGATTCTTCTAGGTGATAATCCCAGGCTATTCCGTCCTGGTCGCTGAATTATGTTAACTTTGACGTGGGATTCTCATGGAACATGGAACAAAATATTTTGGATTTCAAGAAACGAAAGGTAGAAATTTACGTTAATTGTTTGACCGTTCTGACATAAATTAGTTCAACCATCAGGCAGCGAATTATTGTTTTTTTAGATGTGATTTCGAGAAACGAAAGGAACACGTTAACGTTGATTATTAAATTAATCGTGGGTTATTCTTCAACCATGAGGTCGCGAAATTCTTATTAACCTGTGATATATGTAAGGATGGATTAAAGAAATGAAATGGGGTTTAACGTCCTACTCTTCTACTCCGACTGGGCTAATGAAGACGGGCATATGCCATACAGTGTGCAATGAGGGAAATTTTGCCCGGCCTACTCGCTAGTCAGGAGGTCGCGTGTTGGATTCCTGCATTATTGGCGGAGATTTTCAGACGTGGTTACCCCTTGTCAGTGGTGCATGACGTGGGGGGGGGGCTGACAAGGACAACTGTTTAGTCGTTCGGATGGGACGAAAAACCGAGGTCCCGTGTAAACATTGGCATGCACGTAAAAGATCTTCAGGCAGTTGGAATTCGATATGAGAGTAGGCGACAGTGCCGCTTCCCAGGCAAAATTTCCCTCATAGCACACTGTATGGCGTATGCCCGTCTTCATTATCCCAGTCGGAGCACAACAGTAGGACGTTGAATAATGTTAAATGATCAATCATCAATTCAAGGATCGACAATCTAAAAAAAAAAAACCAAGTGATTTAAACAAACAGAAGTCAATAATTAAAAGTTCGATGAGGACTAATCATTAATTAAAAATAATCGATTTTGTGCGATTTATTTAAAGTGTTGAAAGGATGGGTCTGTTAAACAATAATTAGATCTAGAAGTCAGTGAAAGAAATTCTGTGTATTGTTATTTCCTGTGATAAAAATTCTTATATTTTTAAAACGTGAATCAACTGGTAGTGTAACCTAATCATTTACAGCTCCCTGCGACGATTACAAAACGTGAAGCATTGGGAGTGTAACGTAATTGTTTACTGCCCCTTGCGACTTGGATTACAAAATGTGAATCTCTAGGAGTGTAACGTAATTGTTTACTGCCCCCCCCCCCCACTTGGATTACAAAACGTGAATAATTAGTAGTGTAACGTAATTGTTTACTGACCCCCCCCCCCCCTCGACTTGGATTACAAAATGTGAATCCCTGGGAGTATAACGTAATCATTTACTGCCCCTGCGACTTGGATTACAAAACGTGAATCATTGGGAGTTCGACATGGATTACAAAACGTTATCAACTGGTAGTGACTGTTCTGTTATGGTACTCTTTACATACCAATTATTTGTGTTCTTTTTGTTCTTACTACACACCAGTTCCTTTTGTTCTTACTACACACCAGTTCCTTTTGTTCTTACTACACACCAGTTCCTTTTGTTCTTACTACACACCAGTTCCTTTTGTTCTTACTACACACCAGTTCCTTTTGTTCTTACTACACACCAGTTCCTTTTGTTCTTACTACACACCAGTTCCTTTTGTTCTTACTACACACCAGTTCCTTTGGTTCTTTCTACACACCAGTGTGTTTTTAACTTTTTGCACACAAGTTCTGGTTTTGCACACGAGTTGTATTTTAATCTTGCTGTACACCAGTTCGTCTTGTTTTTTCACAGACCAGTTCGTCTTGTTTTTTGAGCACACAGGATCTTTAATTTACTCTAAGTAATACCGTGGATCAAAGCTTCGATATGGACTAAACATTCTGATTGTTTATTTTTCAAATTTATTAATCATTTAGACCCTTCGCCTACTTAGATAAACTAAATGCTCGATTTTTATTTTTCTCTCTAGGTTCGGACATTTCGATGGTATGCTATGGTTATAAAGGCAGTGAGTAAATTAGCATTGGACATGCAGAGATTGTCTATACGCATGTCAGAACAGGTACCAATGTCGGATATGTTCTATATACCAGTCAAACAACCAGATGCCAATAATGAAGGAGAAAGTTCCAAACTTTTCTTTGATAAATCATGGTTTTCAAGAGATAGGGCGGTAAGTTACGAGATATCGTGAAGTGAGTCAGTCACTGTGTTAGCAAGTGATCGGAGGAAGCGAATGCCGTTAGCCTTGCGTCCGAATTTGAAAGTCGGTCACTGTCTCAATTCGAAGACGACCTAACAGAAACACAACTGGCAGGGAAAACGTTTACTCTCTGACATTCAGAGCCGGATTCAATTTGTGATTAAAACACAGATCCTATTTTATTTCATTTTTTATAGTTCAAAATTTAGGTTTACTTGTCTCTAAAACACTAGGATGATGTAAGGGATTAGCCAATGAAACAACCTGTAACGGCGAGTTTTTGGCGTGAGGTGCACAGAACTGTGGGAAACCCACTAGAAACATCAACGCTGATTGAGTAATCAAATGGCTGTCGCCATAGGGTCAAAATCCGCTCGTATGACCTCTGACGCTACCGTCCACTACAACTGGTCAGATCTTCATGTAGTAGAGGCCATCGAAAGTATAAAATACGAAACGAAGTTTAGATCTGTATTTTAGTCAGATTGTGGCGGTTGGAAATCGAAGATACGTAGGCGGGATAACTGTTGTTAGATTTCGAATTGTCAAGAGTACTCAATGTACACGAATGGAGATCGAATTGTCACACCTACCGAGGGACTATACACAGTTGGTGTCTTTAACTTTTATGCTTTTGTTTGTTGTAGATATCGAAGGTACCTCTATGGGCACAAACTATAACAATTAGAAAACCCGAACAAAGAACAAAAGACGAGATTAAAAGATTGCACGATTTATTGATTAACATGCAGAGTTTTAGAGAAAAGTTTACTGAGGATAAACGAGTCAAGATATGTCAATATATCAGATATACCAAGTAAGGCACTAAAATATATCAGATATACCAAGTAAGGCACTAAAATATATCAGATATAACAAGTAAGCTACTAAAATATATCAGATATACCAAGTGAAATATATCAGATATACCAAATTAAATATATCAGATATACCAAATTAAATATATCAAATATACCAAGTAAGGCACTAAAATATATCAGATATACCAAGTTAAAATATATCAGATATATCAAGTTAAATATATCAGATATACCAAGTAAAATATATCAGATATACCAAGTAAAATATATCAGATATACCAAGTTAAATATATCAGATATACCAAGTAAAATATATCAGATATACCAAATAAGCTACTAAAATATATCAGATATACCAAGTAAGTTACTAAAATATATCAGATATACCAAGTGAGCTACTAAAATATATCAGATATACCAAGTAAAATATATCAGATATACCATGTAAGTTACTACAATATAGTAAAAAAACAGATGTGACGCAACCATTTGATGTTGGCATACAGTTAGTTCAAATAATGGTGAAAATCGTACATGTTGATATTGTACATATTAATATTGTTTAGGTGTGCTAGAGGCCGGGTTGTATTAAGGCAAGGCCATGGTGTTTATATTTATAGGTGTGCTACAGGTCGTGTTATATTAAGACAAGGCCATGTTGTTTATATTTATAGGTGTGCTAGAGGTCGTGTTATATTAAAACAAGGCCATGTTGTTTATTTTGTAGGTGTGCTAGAGGCCATGTTGTTTATATTTGTAGGTGTGCTAGAGGTCGTGTTGTATTAACACAAGACCATGTTGTTTATATTTGTAGGTGTGCTAGAGGCCATGTTGTTTATATATTTGTAGGTGTGCTAGAGGTCGTGTTGTATTAAGACAAGGTCATCCTGGTGAATATTTATATTTTATATATGCTGGTTCTGTGATGATACAAGTTGAAATGGAGGACAAAAACGGAAAGATTTTCAATACGACAGAAAATATTATTAAAAGTGGTGCAAATTTTGGGGTAAATACCTATACAATGTATTATTTGTACAAATTATACTGCCTAGCCTTTTCATATTTCTTCGTATTATTATTATTGCATATTGTACACCCAACCCGTTAACTATTTTCTTGCATGATAGATTAATAATTTAGATAACATTTCAGGCCTAAAGAAAGACCTGCAATAGGCAGATTTACCTCTTGCATAATGTGTATTTTTTGATTTAAAGTATTTAGGTTGACGAACGTTTAAGTATTTGCATCCTACTAAAATACAATGTCTTATTTAAATATTATTTAAAAGGAAGAAGCTTTAATAGGAGAAGGTTTGCGATCTGCTACTATCATTGTTAAAGAACCAGCCGAGTTCTTCCATATTGATGGCGAGATATTTCTAGATATCTGTCCTCATCATATAGACTCACAGCTACATCAAAAGATGCAGTTTGCCGAGTAAGTTCTTACCAATACATCCTTTTATCTTCTGACTCTTTCTTGTTTGGGGCGGAGCAGAGTGGGGGGGGGGGGGGCGGGCAGTAGAATTGTGAATATGACAGTGGCTCATTAACCAGTATGACCCGGACCGAAAAAGTTCCTTGGGCATTTATCAGTCCAAATACAGGGAAAATAGAGTTTCCTGTACTGAATATGAAGAACGTTGTTGTTCTTGGTGTTTATCGTCCGCTCCACCGAGGGTAATATCGCATTATCTTAGTGCGTGTGTGTATGAGAGAGAGGGAGAGAGCGCGAGAGCGAGAACGATAGAGCGAGAGAGAGAGAGAGAGCGAGAGAGAGAGAGAGAGAGAGAGTTTAACGTCCACTCGACACAAACTAGGTCATTTCGAGACTAGCATATGGTTCAATTTTATGTCAATAGTTCGCTTGCGCAGGGGTCTTTAGCAGTGGGACGAAACCGGAGGACCCGGAGAAACCCACGAGGTTGGACAGGCGACCCTACTCCTTGTCACGTACAACCTCGCAAGTTGACTCAATGACAGACCTTATGATATCAAGAAATAGATGAGAATTGTTGGTTAGGGTCAGAATCAGGGTTAGGTTTAAGAATTTGGGGGGAGAGGTTAAGTCTCCACATAAGCACTGACCTAAATATTGTTTATAAAAAATACATTGTTAGAATAATAAGCTGTTCAAAAAACCCAAAATGATTTGATTTTATTCAACAGGATATTCGACATTTTCCGATGTTTAGACAAAGAAATGGTAAAAGACGTAGTTTTTAGGTCACAAATCATAAAAATGCCTCATGGCCGTGTTGTGGAAGCCGATTGGTCTAAAGCTAACTTTGTTTATTTCGTATTAAAGGTAGGTAACTCTACAGTGTTTGGTTTAACATTCTGGCCACAGATCACTAATGATTTCCCCATTAACTTTAATGTTAATTCTCATCTCTTAGACTGGCTCTAACTTTTTCCCAAATTTTCGTTGGGTAGAACGCTTTCTACCACAGATGGATCAACATGTGGCAAACTCTTGCCCAAAAGAACGTATAAGGTTCTTCATGAAAAACTTGAGATACACAAGCTGGAAGTAGAGACAAGTAAACATGCAATTTGTGGCCCTACATTTCAACCTAACCAACAACTCAACTCTTGTATCCCTCCGCCTCAAAATCATGAATATTCACCAAAACCTGTCAGAAAATGTATTTTCAAACCCTTTTTTCATTACCAAACAATATAGACATTTTTGGATATGGTGGCCATTAAGGAGAGAGATTTATTCTCGAAGTATGAAGTATATGGATCTCTGTGTGCGTAATGATTTCTGGTTTCATAAACAGAATCCTAGCTTCAGATCATCTGTAACAAATATACCTGATATAACATAATCGCACCCATAGTAATTTGCTTCTCAATCTGATTAAAACACAGATCCTATTTCGTTCCGTTTTTTATAGTTTAAAATTTCGTTTTACTTGTCTTTATTACACTATAACCGGCGTTCTCGATGATGTGAGAGATTAGCCAATTAAACCGTCTGTTAGGGCGAGTTTTTGGCGTAAGGTGCACGGAACTGTAGGTAAATTACTAAAATACGTCAACGATGATTGATTAATCAATGCCTGACGTTATAAGGTGAATAGCCGCTCGTATGACCTCTGACGCGACCTCCCACTACAACTGGTCAGGCCATGGAAAGTATAAAAGAAAGGAAACGAAATATATATCTGTATTCTAATCAGATTGTTGCTTCTCTGAACACATCTTGTCATTATTACAGGGTACGATCAAACTTTACCGGGATTTTGACGTCACTTCCGTTCTTAAAGATATGGATGATGACCTAGAAGACATATTGGAAACCGAGGTGGCACTAAAACGACTAGTAGAAGATGGCGTCGGTCAAACTAAACAGATAGCTTTAGTAGGAGCTCTACAAGAAGGCGATTATAGCGTAGGAATTTTTTTTTTTTTTTTTTTTTTTTGCTTTAATCTTATGTTCATACTAAGCAAAATACTTGCGTAAGTTCGATCCCGCTGTTGGTTTAGATAGTTCCCCTGATTTCTCAGTGTGCTTAAGTCTTGTCAGTGGTACAGGATAGCTGACATGGCAAAACACAGTCTAGTCGTTCGGATAGGCGGAAAACCAATGTGGACCAAGTGCACATCTAAAACACCCCTTAAACTGTTACAACAGAACAAAATAAAAATGAAAAATGCGTCTTGTATCCTACTAGGGGTGGATGGCTGAATGGTTAGCGCCTGCGCGTTGTATCATAAGGTCTATCATTGAGTCAGCTGGCGTGGTTGCGATTCTCCGGTTGTACGTGAAACGGGGTAGTGTCGCCTATCCAACCTTGTGGGTTTTCTCCGGTTTCCTCGCACTGCTAAAGATCCCCTACGCGCAAGTGAATTATTGAAATAAAATTAAACCATATGTTGGTCCCAAAATGACATAGTTTGTGTCGAGTGGACGTTAAACCCTATTTCCATATTTCCATACATCTTTTTCTTCCACTGCTAAAGACCCCTATGCACATGCGTATTATTGAAACAAGATTGAACCATGTATGTTAGTCCCGAAATGACCTAGTTTGAGTTGAGTGGACTTTAAACCCCATTTCTCTCTCTGTAGCCCAGTCGGCACAGAAAAGTAGGACGTTAAACCCATTTCTTTTCATTTCACCCTTAGCTAATTTAGAAGCGTTGGGTGGCCGAATTGTTAACGCGGTCGTGTTGGATTATAGGGTCTTGATTCCTCGCTTGTACGTGACAAGGAATAGGGCCACCAGTGCAACTTCGTGGGTTTTCTCCGGGTCCTCCGGTTTCTCCCACTGCTAAACTCCTCTACGAGCAAGCAAATTATTGAAATCAAATTGAACCATATTACTCTCCCCCCTCTCTCTCTCTCCCCCCCTCTCTCTCTCTCTCTCTCCCTCTCTCTCTCCCTCTATATCTCTCTCTCTCTCTCTCTGAAATGCATAAGTATTATCACATGTTTTATTTTTGGGTTGTAGGATCTATACATCCTGTCAACAGATAGTAACTATTCTCTCTCACCCGTTCAAATGATAAGTCAAGGTGCAGAAGTCTTGAGGGTATCACTACGCACTTTCCGGCGAATAATACCAAAACAGGATATAACGGACTATATTCGAGATAGATACACACAACACAAGTAAGTAATTATTGACTGATCCATTTGAGATGGCGACTTATTAACTTAACCTTTAATCTTTACAATAGTCGTTTATCTGGCATGATTGAGGCCATTTTCTTTCTCTTTTGATCTGGTAATGGGGCTGACTCGTGATCCGTCATTCTGTCGCCAGTGAAATTAATATTATTATAGATTCTTTCACAATTACCATCGTTACCCTACAATTTATGCTGAACAAATCTCAAACCTTCTACGCATTGAAATGTTACATAAAAGTACGAACAAATTGGTAGGAAAATATACAGCGAAGAACGGTTACAGACAACAGACCGGGATGTTGTAATAATAATACTAATTTTCTATTGCACTGAACATTCCGTTTAAGTGCTCTGTGGCGTCTCGTCAACACATTACTCCAGTTATTAAGAAACTAACATATGATTATTTTGAGACAACATATGGTTATTTGGAGACTAACATCATTTAGAGACTAACATACGGTCATTTAGAGACTAACAAACAGTCATTTAGAGATTATCATTAGATCATTTAGAGACTAAGAAACGGTCATTTAGAGACTAGCATACGGTCATTTAGAGACTAAACATCATTTAGAGACTAACATTCAGTCATTTAGAGACTAAAATGCGGTCATTTAGAGACTAAAATGCGGTCATTTAGAGACTAACATCATTTAGAGACTAACATACGGTCATTTAGAGACTTAACATCATTTAGAGACTAACATACGGTCATTTAGAGACTAACGCACGGTCATTTAGAGACCATCATTAGATCATTTAGAGACTAACAAACGGTCATTTAGTGAGTAGATGGTCATTTAGAGACTGACATCAGTTAGAGACTAACATTCGGTCATTTAGAGACTAACGTTAGATCATTTAGAGACTAAGAAACGGTCATTTATTGACTAGCATACGGTCATTTAGAGACTTAACATAATTTAGAGACTAACATTTAGTTATTTAGTGACTAAAATACGGTCATTTAGAGACTAACATCATTTAGAGACTGACATACGGTCATTTAGAGACGAACAAACAGTCATTTAGAGACTAACATTAGATCATTTAGAGACTAACAAACGGCCATTTAGAGACTTTAAGAGACTAACAAACGGTCATTTAGAGACTTTAGAGACTAACAAACGGTCATTTAAAGACTAACATACGATTCAATAGTCTTTTATCTGCACTCCAGTGTGTGTGTGCTGGTGGATCCAGGTTTGTCGTTCAATCCGAAGAGCTAGCGAAGTGAGATTCTGGGAATATTGTAATTGAATTGTTAGAATTGGGGTACAGAAGCTGATGATGAAAAAAACATAACACCGGGGTGGGGTGGGGAGGCTAGGTTCCCACTGTCGTGCCAATCTGTTTTACGGAGATCTTCTAATATCTCTGTGACAGATGACTGTTTCGACACGTGACGTCACATCACGCGGCGTCAATCATTGGCTCAATAGCGCGTGCATTGTTTACATAAGACGTTACTGATTCGGGCTAAATGGTGAATTTTACTTATTTTAATACCCATTTACACTAAATAGGAAATGATTTTTACCTACAAATAATTCAAACGTCTTTATTTATTTTTCTAATAAATGAAAAAAATGTTTTAGAATTTAATTTGACGGAAGAAAAAAGTTAATATTTGGGACTCATTAAGTCGTATTGATGTCATCCTTATCGGTGATTGTAGCGGCCTAGCGATCATTCACTGCTGATCAGTGTGCTGTCGTGCGATGCGTTGCTATACGATAGTCCACATTCAGCCACGTGCAAACACGTTTCGACACGATACCTACGACTAACCTCAATATATGATAAGCCCTGATAGGATCACCACGATTACTCCACGATTAAAACCACGATTTCGACTATAGCACGAATCGTGATATTGGGAACCTAACATTAGGAATTGTTAATCGTTGTTGAATCTTATGTCTTGTTTCATATATCTTCAGTATTCCTTCAGAGTTTGAACTGGGTAAACGATTTATAGAAAACGCACATTGGGCACATTATCAGAAACGGGTTATAGCTACCCTAGATCGGGTGCATGGAGGAGAGTTATTGGCTAATATTCCTGCTACTGCCAAAGGTACAAGTGGTTGGGCGAAATGGCCAGGATATTCATACGATGCTCAGGAGAAATGTTCTGTGTTCAGTGAACCAGATGGAAAATCAAAGGTAAGAATATACACGGGTGGGGCAATTTAATTAAAATACAGATCTATATTTCGTTTCGTTTTTATACTTTCTATGGCCTACACTACATGAAGATCTGACAAGTGGCTTATGACACTATGGTGTCAGACATTTGATTAACCAATCAGCGTTGATGTTTCTAGTGGGTTACCCACAGGTCCGTGTACCTCACTCCAAAACCTCGCCGTAACAAATCGTTTCATTGGTTAATCCCTCACATCATCCAGAACGCGGGTTATATACATGTAACAACTCTTTCAGATCGTAGTGTAGTAAAGACAAGTAAAACGAAATTTTGAAATATAAAAAACGAAAAGAAATAGGATCTGTGTTTTAATCAGATTGCAGATGACGTGGGGTGGGGGTTCTCATGTTTAAAAATCGGGGTTTCCATGGTGATATTTTGTGGGGTATATCTGAATCGAATATAAATTTCAATTTCATCAGCTACACCACCACAACCAACAAAAATCTCAAATTTACACATTTCATACAAATAAACCAACGGAGGGAGATACAGAGAAATGGGGTTTAACGTCCACTCGACACAAACTAGGTCATTTCGGAACTAACACATTGTTCAATTTTATTTCAATAATTCGCTTGCGCGTAGGGGTCCTTAGCCGTGGGAGGAAACCGGAGGACTCAGAAAAAGTCCACGAGATTGGACAAGCAAGCCTACTCCTTGTCACGTACAACCGGGGAATCGAATCCACGCCACTTAATTCATTGACAGACCTCATGATTTCACGCGCACGCGCTAGACCATTTACACCCCCCCCCTCCAATATAATAGAGTACACGTGATAAAGAAACATATCAAATACATTACTTAACTTGACTGATTGACAGATCTTGTGATTTCACGCGCACGAGTTAAACTACTACTGTCTGATTCATCGTAAATTTTAAACGGATTTCTTCGATTATGAACAAACTACTTAACGTTGGTTATTATAAACTTACCTGTGTGTTTGTAATGAACTCCCGTTCGATAAAATCCATTGCACAACTAATTATCACAACGATGAAAACAAGTTCTCTCTTGAAAAATTGAAATATCACAAACTTTTCCCAGAGAAAAATACCAATATGGAAGATGGTTACGTCACTCTGCGGAAGATATCATTTCGTATTAGGGGTGACAGCATAGGAAATTCAAGTACAATTACGACAAGAATCCATGACCACTCGGACCAAAGATCACTCGGTTCAAGACCAGTCGGACCAAGTGATAGACCACTCAGCCCAAACAAATAGACTACTCGGACCATACAAAAAGACTATTCGGACCCAACAGAAAGACGACTCGGACCAATAATAAAATGTTGTTTTAATAAATTGATAATTGCGTTTGTTTTAATATAATTACTCGAACCAATAATAAAGTGTTATTTTAATAAATTGATAATTGTGTTTATTTTAATATGACTACTCGAACCAATAATAAAGTGTTATTTGAATAAATTGATAATTGTGTGTGTTTTAATATGACTACTCGAACTAATAATAACGTGTTGTTTGAATAAATTGATAATTGTATTCCAAATCGCAAAATATCGAGAACCACACTTGTAGTCACGTTTAAAAAGGGGCATATAAACGTCCGGTCTTCGTATTATTATGTGCTGTTTATATTAACGCATCAGGGGCGGATAACTTGAAAACGTGTCTCCACCGCCCCACCCCCATATATAGTAACCCAGGGGTTAGTGGGGTAGAACGGAATGAAACCACTGGGGATACCGCGAATGTGGAAAAAGTAAAATTAGGCTATCAGACAAGAACAGTATACCCGTATATGTAGAAACTGTCAAAAGTCTGGACATACCGAGTCTCATTGCAAGAGTAAAGAAAAATTAGATTGATATTTTTTTTTGGCACCATTATTAATTAATTTTAAAACTAATCGTTGATTTATTTTCGTACACAAAATTGAACCAAACAACTCTAAATATAAGAATTCCGTATAAGAATTATTTGCTTCTTTGTATTGTGATTTAATAATAAATAAATAGCATATTGTCTAGCCTTATAATATAATTTAATTGGTCCGACTGGTCTTGTTTTGGTCCGACTGGTCTTAGTCCGAGTAGTCTTTGGTCCGAGTGGTCTGGATACCTACGACAATTGGCATTGGGTTTGAGCGTTCGGACACATAACTACCCGTATTCCTGTATTTAGTTACCGTCTTTTACATTCTAGTAAAATCTCTGCAAATTTTATAGCTTTACTTTTTGAAATATTTTGTTCTAATTATTTGATTAGCGACTCGGATGGGATTATTTACTTTTGAACACGCATGCCGCACAAACACAACTATACATTCGTTTTACGGGCTTTATCACACTTCGGTCAAAACTGTCGAATCGAGAATTAATGTTCCGCTTCTTACGGGGTCATACGGGCTTAGTAGCATTATATACCCATCCGGGCACCCAATACGGCAATAGACACGCTGAGGGCTGCCGCAACACGCTTAAAGATGTTAATAAAGCGGTTATTATTCGATCGAAAGAATGCGTATAAAATTAAAAATACACTCAGAGAATTCGGAGGTAAGCTTCATGATCCTTGTTAAATTATTTATAACATAAAGAAGATAGGATATTTATAGTTTATTCATGACTTTATTTTTACGAGTATCCGTGCAATCAGTGATATTTTAATTGTGAAGAAAATTTGATAGACTGGCGATCAATGGTTTCCATATAAATCTCCTATGTAATTGCCTTCAATTGATATTTTTCGTCGCCCAAACCCATATACGATCAAAATGATCGCGCTGTCAAACTATCTTTCAATGTTAACCAACCCCCGCAACAGGTATATTGGATTCGACCAATACGTCACGAAGACATTGTTGACATCGACTCTGTCGAAATTACAAGTAAATTTTCAAATTTTTCAAGAGAGAAATTATTCTCATCGTTGTGATAATTAGTTGTGCAATGGAGTTTATCGAACGGGAGTTCATTACAAACACACAGGTAAGTTTATAATAACCAAAGTTAAGTAGTTTGTTCATAATCGAAGAAATCCGTTTAAAATTTACGATGAATCAGACAGTAGACCATTTTTAACCCCCAGTAATAAAATAGAGTAAACATATAAACTTCTATATTAAATACATTACTGAACTTATATATTACAAACAAACTGACATACGTCTTTATGCAGAGCCTTATGTCTCCGTGAGGTCGGAGTGGCGTCCTTACTGCGCTGCTGCGACCGCACGGCGAACAGAAAATGCACAAGGTCGCCGGCAAACAACTCGATAAAATGTCCACAAAAGATTACAAACTTGAAAAAGCCGCGTTCTCACAGCTTTCCAGGTCAGATAGCAGAACCTTGGCGTTTGTTTTGAACATGCTCAAAATAAACGCCGTGGCTGGGCGATCATTGGCGACCATGGAGACGACAGCGATCGTGACGCGTTCTGAGACCATTTTCCGTCTCCTTAGCAGCGCAGTAAGGACGCCACCCCGGTCTGACGGGGATATTACATAAAGACAGGGAATAAATCGATAGATCATTTCTCGATATCATATATGTATATGAATACTGCAAAAGTACAAAACCAATATATACGATAGCGCTAATGTTTCAGGGGCGTACACGTTGCATCATAAGGTCTGTCATTGAGTCAACTACACCTGTTTTACGTCACAAGGAGTAGGTTCGCCTGTCCAACCTCGTGGGTTTTCTCCGGTTTCCTGCTAAATACTTCTACGCCCAAGCGAATTATTGAAATAAAATTGAACCATATGTTAGTCGAGTGGACGTTACCCCCCCCCCCCATCTCTCTGTCTCTGTCTCTCTCTCTCTCTCTGTCTCTCTCTCTCTCTCTCAATAATATTTCATCTGTTTCGCGCCTATTCAACCTGGACAAGCAATGATAACGGAAATAATGTGTTAAAGAGACGTTGATCTCCATTAACATTACTTGAGATGTCTTTGGACTACATAAAATTTATTGTTGAAGGTGATTTACTGACCATGGCTTTATTAAATCCTTGAGGGTTAATTGATGGTGTTAATGGTCATCCACTGACCTACATCCTAAAGGTTTATGATAACTGCTTCAGACTTGTAGTTCTCTATAGAGCTATAAACAGTACAAACTTAGACCACTTTAGAAGAGTTAGCAGGCTATAATGTCTCTTAAAATGAAACCTATAGACTAACAATGTTCGAAGGACATCTCACTATATAACTCTATCTTAAAGATACATTAGGTAATATTAGATAAAGTTTTCACCAGATAATGTAAAGGGAATTTGCTGAAAAATTCAGTCAAATTGATGCACTCTGAACCGATCATCATTACTGAAGTCGGTTCTATAGTCTCGTTTATCCAGTTCATGATTAAATCATGAATGAAAGTTGAGCAGCAAATGGGATCCTAACCCAGTAAATATTGCAGGCTAGCGTTGACATCGAGAGTTGATTATGGCCTGGATAAGTTAATTAATGTCTAATTAATAATTTAGATGACATTTTAGACTTAAAGAAAGACCAGCAATAAACAGATTTAGCTCTTGCATAATGTATGTTTAATATCATGAGATGGTATTTCCTAAAATAAATCAAAATGAAATAGGTTTTAGATCCTACTTTTCGGCACCAACCGAGATAAAAACGGACATGCGCAGTCCTTCACGTTTAAGGGGAGCTTTTGCTCCTTCTCCTCTCGACGCACGTCGGCTTTCCTTCAAAGGAGTCATTAAAGACTCCTGCAAATTAGCTAAATTGCTCTCCTAAATATTGAGATTAATAAACTACTTTCAGTTTTGTTTACTTTTAAACTGCATATATTCAAGGTACCAGGAGCTTTTTATGGCTCCCGCACAATTTTATAAACATGAAGGACTGCATGAGTCATATATGTTGCTATGAGAGACGTGTTACCAGGACATCCGTGTTTCAACCAATACGAACGATTAGACGCTTCTTCGCACTGTCTAACCTCGTGGGTTTTTCCGGGTCCTCCGGTTTCCTCCCACTGCTAAAGACCCCTATGCACAAGCGAATTATTGAAATAAATTGAACCATGTGTTTGTCCCGAAATGACCTAGTTTGTGTTACCCCCCCCTCTCCACCCGATTAGATTTTATTACATACTTCGAGAAGGTATTTGTTGAGTAATACAACCTTCTGGTAGTTTATCGAGGGCTAGCCGTCCTTACCGCACGGTAAAATAAAACCGTCTAGTAGTTTATCGAGGTTCGGGTGCTTCATAAGTCCAAAATGGCCGCTTTATATAAATGAGAATTTTGGGGATAATTAACCCGAACCCTAACCCTAACCCATTTTAAAAGACTGAACTTGGGTCTTATTTAGTTTTTACTTCTCTTAAAAGGGTTAGGGTTAGGGTTCGGGTTAGTATTCCCCTAAATACTCATTTGTATAAAGCGGCCATTTTGGTATGAGTTCTGGCTTGTTCTGGAATTTGTTGCTTCTAGTGGTGATAAAATTTGTACCGTGCGGTAAGGACGGCCAGCCCTCGATAAACTACTAGAAGGTTTTATTACTCAACAAATACCTTCTCGAAGTATGTAATAAAATCTAATCGGGTGCTCTCTCTCTCTCTCTCTCTCTCTTCTTCGTAGTCCCCCCGGTCTGCCCACAGAGAAGAGGGAAATCCGTTGATTTAACCCGAGACCCACTGGTTAGTGAGGCAGCGCCTCGCCAAATTAGCCACATTCCATCAATAGCTTCTGGAACGTTCACTCGATAAAAACTAGGCCGTTTCCGGACTAACATATGGTTCAATTTTATTTCAATTATTGGCTTATAATTAGAGTAGGAGGAAACCGGAGGACCCGGAGTCAGGCGACCCTACTCCTTGTCACGTACAACCGGGTAATCGAAACCACGCCAGTTGACTAAATGACAGACATTATGATACAGCGCGCACACGCTAACCATTCGGCCATCCAACTGCCCATATGGTATGAGCCCTTCTTCATTAGCCACTCCTTGTCACGTACAACCGGGGAATCGAAACCACGCCAGTTCACTCAATAACAGACCTTATACTAGGACATGTTGTGAGAGAAGCCTTCATCCGAGTATCATTCACATTCCACGCGTAACCATAGTAATGACCCAAGTATTGTGTCGATGTGACGTTATACCCTATTCCATTCATGTAACAACGTCTAGAGACTTCAAGTAAATTTAATTTTACTATGAAAGACCGCTCATAAACTATGGTTAATTCTATTATACAGCAATAACCCAGGTAATAAATATTTGATGGTGGTTTCTTCACCATATCTTGGTCATCTTCTCCTCACAACAATAAACATTATTTGATTATATCAACATCACAGATGGCTGGAGTCAGTCGATTCTTAAAATCAATGGACAATACAAGAACTAACATATCAATTTGTAGTTTTTGTTATAATATTCTAGTTCACAGTTTCCAGAAATAAAATCCCCTAAAATTAGTGAAAACGCTGTCCGAGCATAATGCTTGTCATGTATTGTACAACTGAAGAAAATATTCCGGGCAACTGTCAAGGATATCTTTTCGGGTTGGGGAGTTCGATGGCTGAATGGCTAGCGCGTGCGCGTTGTATCATAAGGTCTGTCTTTGAGTCAACTGGCGTGGTTTCGATTCGCCGGATACATAAATATACATAGATATACATAGACATACATAGATCTTAATAGATATACATATGTAAACATATATATATATATACATAAATAAATGGATGAATAAATAAATAAATAAATAAATTGTTTCATTCATTGATATATATTTCTTTTGTTTCAGTTGGAAATCTTCCAATTTGTGAAAACACCAAAACCCCCTCGTGCACGAAGGATAGCCGAAAAGCAAATGGATAAAAGGAAGGACAAGGATTCGTCAATGAGACTAGCACCACGTGTTGATGTAGACCAGGATGAAAACGATGGAGCCAGAGTTATAATTGATAATCCTAGAAGACTCTTGTGCAAACCTCCTGGAAGTAAACCCCCGTTAAAGTTATTGGACGCTTATTTCTATGATAGACCTTATAATCCTTACGTCAACAGACTACAATAGTGATCTTACAGTCCTTACGTCAATAGACTACAGTAGTGATCTTACATTCCTTACGTCAATAGATCGCAATAGTGATCTTACTGTCCTTACGTCAACAGATCGCAAATAGCAATAGTGATCTTAAACATCTTTGAGACGAGTCTTACGGGGATAAAATAGCGAATCTTACAATCAATCCTTATAGACTATAATAGTGATCTTAAAATTCCTATAGACTATACTAGTGATCTTACGATTCCTTCCTATAGACTGTAATAATGATCTTACAATTTCTACAGACTACTATAGTGATCTTACAATTTCTACAGACTACTATAGTGATCTTACAATTTCTACAGACTACTATAGTGATCTTACAATTTCCACGGACTATAATAGTGATCTTACGATTCCTTACAGCCTATAATAGTGATCTTACAATTCCTGCAGACTATAATATTGAACTTACAATTCCGTTCATACCATACGAGTGATCTTACAGCTTATTATAGTGCTCTTACAATTCCTATAGACTATAATATTGATCTTACAATTCCTACAGGCTATAGTAGTGATTTTAAAATTTTGTACTGGCTATATTAGTGATCTTACGTTTCCTGTAGGCTATAGAAAGGCTGACTTGGTCACACACAAACAAATTATATAGTCGCATAATTAATAAAATAATTTTTATAATAAAGAATGATAGTTTTATATTTTCAGTTACCCCCCTCCGCCCAATTGTACGTTACCGCGTCTTCATTAGGAACATTAGGACTCAATCTGATTAAAACACAGATCCTATTTCGTTTCGTTTTTTTATGGCTCAAAATTTCGTTTTTCTTGTCTTCACTACACTAGGATCTGAATGAATTATTATATAAACCGTGTTCTGGTTGATGTGAGGGGTTATCCAATCAATCTGTCGAGCCGAGTTCTTATCGTTGAGCATGCGGGAAACAAATCAAAGCAAAATTTGGTTTTCGAATTTGCATGGTTATTTAAGGGTTTTTTTTTTATCTTTTGCAAATTACAATACCAATCTAATTAAAATAAAGATCTATATTGCGTTTCGTTTTTTATACTTTCAATGGCTTACACTCCATGAAGATCTGACCGGTTGTAGTAGTGGAAGGTCGCGTCAAGTGTCATACGAGCGGCTTTTGACCTTATGATGTCGGACATTGATTAATTAATCAGCGTTGATGTTTTCTAGTGGTTTACCCAACTTTCCGTGCATCTCACGCCAATAACTAGCCGTAACAGACAGTTTCATTAGCTAATCCCTCACAATATAACAACTCTTCCAGATCCTAGTGTAGTGAAGACAGGTAAAACGAAATTTTGAACTATAAAAAACGAAACGAAATAGGACCTCTAAAGGGAATATTAGTTCCTTTCTCAGAGAGAGAGAGAGAGAGAGAGAGGGAGATGGGGGATTTAACGTCACTCGACACAAATTAGGTCATTTCAGGACTAACATATGGTTCAATTTTATTTCAATAATTCGCTTGCGCATACGGGTCATTAGTAGTTGGAGGAAACCAGAAGTCCCGACGACCCTACTCCTTGTCACCTACAGCCGGGGTATCGAAACCACGCCAGCTGACTCAATGACAGACCTTATGACACAACGCCGCCCCCCCCCCCCGCTTTATATATACAGTATCAACAGAAGCCAGCACCACTTATTATTTTTAGTGGAACCTTTTGATACCCCTCTTTCAATCTGTCTAGTGGTATTTGATATTTGTCGACGAAACCCTAATCCCTTTTTTGAAATTAGTCTGAATCGACTCGGGAGATGAGCTGTACCTCTAATATTTTGAATTTGTCAACGAGACCCTACACCCTTTTTAAAATCAGTCTGAATCCACCTCGGGAGATTAGCTATCTTAAATATTGTGAATTTGTTTTCTCAATTAAATCAAGACAAATACAATATATTAATCTAAAAATAACCCAAGAAATGTTTCGACCCCAAAGCTCATTCTATTCCATTGATGGAGCCACGGTGGCTAGGTAGGTAAGACGCTGGCTCGCTAGCCCGGAGGTCGCGTGTTCGGACCCTACGAGGTCATCGGAATTTTCCGTGCGCTTTCCCTTTGTCAGTGGTGCGGAACGGAGGGCAGATGTCTAGTTGCTCGGATGGGACGATTAACCGAGGTCCTGTGTATACATTGGCGTGTACGTAAAAAAGATCCCTTGGCAGTTGGAATTCGATATAAGAGTAGGCCATAGTGCCGCTGTCCGGGCAAAATGTCCCCCAAAGCACACTGTATGATGTATGCCCGTCTTCATTAGCCCAGTCGGAGCAGAATAGTAAGACGTGAAACCCCATTTCATTTCATTCCATTTTTAATGTGCTTCTAAAAACCTAGAAAGCGTTTGGACCACATCTAGTGCCTCTCCAACCTCGTGGGTTTCCTGCCACGTTCAAGTCAATTATTGAAACCATGTGTTAATCCCGAAATGACCTAGTTTGTGTCGAGTGGATGTTACCCCCTCTCTCTCTCCTTCCTCTCATCCATCATTTCTAGTAATAACAGATGATATGTGTCTCACGAATCAAATAGCAATAAATCCGGGTGTATTGACTATCAACATCAAGATGATTGACGTGGTGATCTTCAACCGGACCTTTAAACCAACATTTATCAATATTCAGGGCGGATAACATGATGACGATAATAGATAACAATAAGGGTTAATGTTCCGACAACCATTTAAAGTCCAACTGTCACTGGCTGGCATCAACCGTCTAAAGTCCCACTGCCACTGGCATCGACTGTCTAACGTCCCACTGTTACTGGCTGGCATCAAAAGTCTAAAGTCCCACTGTCACTGTCTGGCATCGACTGTTCAACTTCCACTGGTATCGACTGCCTACATCCCCATTGTTACTGACATCGTTACTGACATCGTTACTGACATCGACATTTAAATTTCCATTCCACTGACTGCGACTCTTTAAATCCCCACTTTCACTGGTATCGACCCTTTATAGCCCCGTCTCACTGGTATCGACACTTTAAAGCCCCATTCCCACTGACATCAACACCTTAAAGCCCAATCCCCAGTGGTATCGGCTCTTTGAAACCCGATTCCCACTGACACCTATTCTTTAATACCGCATTCCCACTGGCATCGACTATAATTAAATGTATTAGCGACTGGTGGATTTTGAAAGTCTTACACTATCAGAAGAGCGAGTTACCGTACTTTTCAAGCCGAATGTGAATGGAAATTTAGCCTTGATTCTCATATCTTATTGACATGCACTTTAAAATGGTCTGATTCCTAAATCAATTTTTGAAACTTCCTTTCAAGTCGGAAGATAATATCGATTAAAATAATGATTATCTGTAAGAGAATGGAATGTAGTCGTCTAAAACCGGAACATCAATCAAACGATTTGTAGGTTCTCTAGACCATGTTAGAGTCTATTTACAGAATATCGGAGACATAGAGAGAAAGAGAGATATGGGGTTTAACATCCGCTCGACACAATACTGGAGAGAGCGATAGAGGGAGAGAGAGGTTTAACGTCCACTCGTCACAAACTAGGTCATTTCGGGACTAACATATGGTTCAACTTTAATTCAATAATTCGCTTGCGCGTAGGGGTCTTTAGCTGTGGGAGGAAACCGAGGACCCGGAGAAAACCCACGAGGTTGGACAGGCGACCCTACTCCTTGTCATTCGGAGTCGTAGTATATATCTGAGCCACAGTATATTAGTCTATATTTGACATTGTTTGACTATAAATTAATAAAGATCAGGAGTGTATTCTATTACCCGAAGTGGAAGAGGGCGTTAAGAAGAGAGAAAGAGAGAGAAATGGGGTTTAACGTCCACTCGACACAAACTAGGTCATTTCGGGACTAACATATGGTTTAATTTTATTTCAATAATTCGCTTGCGCATAGGGGTCTTTAGCAGTGGGAGGAAACCGGAGGACCCGGAGAAAACCCACGAGGTTGGACAGGCGACCCTACTCCTTGTCACGTACAACCGGGGAAGAAGAAGAAAGAAGAATAGTTGAAGATAATGTGACACAGCGTGAGTTAAATAACCCTTTAATAAGAAATATTGGAAATAAATTATTCAATTACATATTTGACCTTTAAATCAAACAGTGGAAGAGAAGAAACAAAACAGATGGAGAGCCTTGGGACTAAAAAAAACACAAATGAGATAAGTCTCTACAACCTTAATGGAAAGTCAACATTCACCATTAAAGGGCCATTATGGCAGATTAAATAAAGAAGAGCTGACATTTCTCGCTATACTAGTTACAAAATTGATAACGTAAATAGAATATGCCGAAAATTTCAATCAAATTGCTCCATTTTGAACCGAGATATTAGCTTTGAATTTTAGGCTAGCGTCGATCATCATTACCAAAGTCGGTACAATAAACAAAAAAGTCTCGATTATCCATTTTTAAGTTTAATTATTTTTTTAAAAAATGTATTCCAATCCACTAAATATCTCAGGCTACCGATGACATCGAGGGTTGATTATGATCTTGGCTTGTTAATATATGTCTAATTAATAATTTAGATAACATTTAAGGCCTAAAGAAAGACCTGCAATAGGCAGACTTAGCTTTTGCGTAATGCATCTTTAATAAATGGTATTGGCCGCCCATTGGTTTGCTAAAAATGAAATATGGATCCTCCGGTTAGCTATTGGTGGCTGAATGAGGTAATGGCCAGTATTCGTTGGATTTTAAAACAATACTTAAGGAATTTTAAAACTAAGTTAAAGATACGTTATTTAGGATTTAGATAAAAAAAAAAGTATGCTGTGGGTTTTATAATAGTCCAAAAATAGATTATGAAAACTTACTTAATTCTGAGCGACTTTTCACAACATAGTGTCGATTGTCAAGTACCACTACTTCGATAATAGACTAATTCTCGATTATCCACCATTTTTACGTTAAATTATATAATGGTGACGGTGATTTAGTCCATTCAATATGTCATGTCATGTGAATAAATTAATAATTTATACAACATTTGAAGTTAGAAAAAAAAGATCTCCAATAGACAGATTTTCCTCTTACACATTGCATGTTTATGCTTTGTAAATCACAATACTCGTCACGGCTTACGACGGGATTTGAACCGGAAACATACTAGTCGAGAATCGAAAGCCCTCACAGCTCGACTGCCACGTCCCATATGTTTACTGAGGCATCTGAATAACTCAAACTACTGATTCGTCCTTTAACATGAATAACTAGAACTACTGATTCGTCCTTTAACATGAAAACACAAACAACTGATTCGTCCTTTAACATGAATAACCAAAAACTACTGATTCGTCCTTAAACATGAAAACATAAACAACTGATTCGTCCTTTAACATGAAAACCCAAACTACTGATTCGTCCTTTAACAGGAATAACTAGAACTACTGCAACTACTGATTTGTCCTTTAACATGAATAACTAGAACTACTGCAACTACTGATTCGTCCTTTAACATGAATAATTAGAACTACTGCCTCTACTGATTCGTCCTTAAACATGAATAACTAGAACTACTGATTCGTCCTTTAACATGAATAACTAAAACTACTGATTCGCCCTTTAAATATAAATAACACAAACAACCGATTCGTCCTTTAACATGAATAACACAAACTACTGATTGAAATCAATCTAGACAGATATTGATTTTAAAACAGTTA